CCTGCCAGCATGTCGAAGGGGGAGGCTAACAATAGCACGCTGCTTGTGTGCAGAGATGTGTGAAAGTGGGTGATCCTGGGTTTGTAGCGTGGGGGGAGGCGTTTCTAGGAACTGTCACTGGCTCAAAGATTCTCTCAGAAACTCCAGAGGGGTTGGATTTTGCCTGGAGAACGTAAAGGGACAGATGTGGGAGTGGCGTGCCATCAGCTGCATGGTCAGCTGCATTTGTGAGGGGCCTCAGTGAGGAACATGGGCTGGCACAGGAGCCCTGAGCTGAAGTTACTGAGAAAGGCATGGGGATGCGAAGCAGTTCCTCAGGTTAGGTGTTGAACATGGATTTAGGAAGCAGACGGTCGGGGTCTGCTGCCGGCACGGTCCAGCCTGTGACACAAATGGAGCCGCTGAAGAGGACGGGGGAAACTGAAGAGGACTGGGGACACTGGAGAGGACTGGGGACACTGACTGAAGAGGACTGGGGACACTGACTGAAGAGGACTGGGGACACTGGAGAGGACTGGGGACACTGGAGAGGACTGGGGACACTGGAGAGGACTGGGGACACTGACTGAAGAGGACTGGGGACACTGACTGAAGAGGACTGGGGACACTGGAGAGGACTGGGGACACTGGAGAGGACTGGGGACACTGGAGAGGACTGGGGACACTGGAGAGGACTGGGGACACTGGAGAGGACTGGGGACACTAGAGAGGACTGGGGACACTGACTGAAGAGGCCCACTTTCTCACACTCAGTTCACCACCTCTCTGCCTGGCTGACTCCTCCAGCATCTTACTCCACAATAGGCTTGCCTTCTGCCATCCTATACACCGGCTCCCTTCCAACCAGTCCAGTCCCTTGCTGTCTCTCTGATCCAAAGCTCGGAGCTAGGAAGGGCTCAGCACAGGCCACTTACTCTTCTTCTTCTGCTTCTTCCCCGTGACCAGATCCCTTCCTGTGACCCCAAATGACCTCTATCTATTTACACTTCCACAAGTCTCCTAGCAAACCCTCACCCTAGCTTGAGGATGACCTCCTCGCATGCACGATGGCCTTTCTGACGGTCTTCTGTAACAGCTCGGGAACTTCTTTACTATCTGTTTCCACACAGTAGCCATGATGATAAGTCAAAGCATAAATCAGATCTTAAACCCGTAGACTAGATCCCTAAATACACTTCCGTTTCCTGTGGCTGTCATCACAAAGACCACAAACTTGGACAGTTAAAACAACAGAAGTTTATTCTTCACGGTTCTGGAGGCCAGAGGTCAAGGTGTTGACAGAGAAGCGTCCCTCCAGAGGCCCTGGGGAGCCCCACTCCCTCTCCCTCTGGGCCTCCTCTACTCTGACTGCCTCTGCCTCGCTGAGGTCTGCCGCTGGCCTCTGGCTTCCTATGGCCTCCCCTTATCTATTTTCCACTTGTTTGTTTGCTTTGGGGGGTTGGGTCTCCCTCTGAAGCCCAGGCTAATCTAAACTCTCAGTAATCCTGCCTCGGCTTCCCTAATGCCAGGGATTACAGGCACGTGACACCACCATGCCTGGCTAGCTATTCTGGGTTTTCTGTTTGAGCCTGTGTTTCATTCTGCATCCCAGGCTAGTCTCGCTGCCCTCACAGCGGTCCTTCCTCCCGAAGCCCTCACAGTGTCCTTCCTCCCGAGGCCCTCATCCTGAGACCCTCACAGTGCTCCTTCTTCCCGAGGCCCTCACAGTGCTCCTTCCTCCCGAGGCCCTCACAGTGTCCTTCCTCCTGAGGCCCTCACAGTGCTCCTTCCTCGGCCTTTCAATGCTGCATGGCAGGTGTGACCGACTGTGCCATTTTGTTATAAGGGCATTTGTGACAGAATTTACCACTCAGACGATCTCACCTCAAGATCATAAACTATGATTAAAACAATCTTTTTGCCTGTAAAAAGACACACCAGAGGTTCCAGGGACTGAGGCAACTCTTCTGTAGGCCCACCAGCTGCCATTTAAGTCCTAGCAAGTCCGCTGCCCACCCTCCAGCTCTACTCTCCCTGAGTACAGGGCTCTATCCTTTATGGAAGTTTCCTACTTCTCTAAGACAAGGTTTTCCCCACCCTTGGCCTTTTCCTACACTGTTCCTCTTCTGCTGTCTACCTAGCTGAGGCTTCAGGGCTCTGGCTAAGAATGACTTCTGTGGACAATTACTCCTTTAACTCTCGCTCCATTTAGACCCCCCACCGTGCTGTCCTTTTCCTCAGCGCTGACTGTTTCTTTGTTCCATTGAGGAAAAGTTAGCTACACAGGGATTTGTGGGCTGTTTGTCTTTCCCACTGGACTGTGAACTCTTTATATCATTTTAGGACACACATCTGTTTTGTTCTCTCTTGTATGTATATTTAGAGCACGTGACAGTATGGGCTAAAGGATATTAAGTCAACAGTCCCACCCTTCCCCCCTTCTGAACGGCAAAGGAAGGACTTGGAATACTGAGCAGACAGCTGGAACACCTCTCATTTATTTCAGACATACTGCGCCCCACCTGGGCTGGGCAAGCCATAAAACTGAGCAAACAGAAAAGGCATATCTGATTGTTATTAGTAAATTCTAAGGACTTCCCTGGCCATCCATTCTGCCACGGGTACGGCTGGATAAGTAAGGTCTTTGTTCCCTGTTCTGTACTCTCTATACCTCCCGGCCAAATGAATGGACTGCAGCTTCTCAGGATTGCTAGGGGAAACTGATACAGACTGACTTTCACCTTCGACCTAATACTAAGCCAGAGGATTAACATATGTATTATAAAAAAAACAAAACAACAACAACAACAAAAACCCTCTTCTTTAGGATGCCTGGAATTCTCCAGCCTCTCTTCTTCTCCACCAATAATTTTTAAATTGAAATATAATTCACGTGCCACAAGCCCTACCCTTTGCTACACGATTCAGTGTTTCGTACCAAGTGGAATCACTGCCACTCACTCCAGAATGTTCTCATCACATTACTCTTCCCTCTGACCAGAAAAGGAAAAGCCTCAGTGAGCAACCATTGTCTACCACTCCCTCTTCAGAGCCCTGGAACCACGAACGTCCTGCACACAGTCCGTCCGGTCAACCCCTGTACATCCACGAGACTGAAACACGGAGACACGACATGATTTACAAAGAGCTGCTTAGAGAGTGAGCACCTGCATGTATAGAAACTTTCTGTATGTAAAAACAAGCAGAAAAAAATGCTCACTATATCTAGTGTGTGTCCTTAGATGTGGCCCCAGTACATCTGACAAGGGCAGGGTCCTCAGAATAAACACTCTTGGGACAGCACAGCTCACTGGAAAGAGGCGAGGGCATGGGGGTATTCCTGAAGAATCGCTTTTAAGAGATGAAGCAGGAGGAGCAAAGTCCATGGTCATCCTTGGCTACATAGCAAGTCTGAGGACAGTCTGGGGTTCACAAGGACTCTGTCTCAAAAGAAAAAGAAAAAAAAATCACTCATACTACTGGCTGAAAGGTATCTGTACTCATGGACAGGAAAGAGTGGGAGGTTGCGGATTAGGGGACAAGCGTGTTATTTTGAGCCCACAATTTTGAAAGGAAGAGTGTCCACGTGTCCTGGGAACCACTTACTTCCTTGTAGAGTGGACAGGATGGGTCCCGGAGAGCCTTATCATTTCCAGTTTGTTCATAGCTAACGCACGACAGTGCTGACACCACTTCTGAATCATTTACTTGTTAACGACATCTTACACGGCCAGGCGGGAAACCTGACTTTCTAAATACCCTATCTGAACTTCCAAGTAAGGAAAAGAACCGCATGTTTATGTAACTACCACGCCACAGTCATAAATGTGTACACAGGAACTTTGCTTCTACAGGCTAAAATCATTGGAATCCGTTTGCAAAAATAATTAGGCATACATACATTGTGTCGTGTGCCCTAAATACTACTAACAAAAAGAAACACAGACACTGCTCAAAATGCACACATCCGAACCTCAGTTTCTGATTATTCAAAAATGTTATTATACTAACATTTAAAAATGTTATTAAAATAGAAATTCAAAAAGACAAGTCAAATCTAAATTTTACTCATTAAAATTGAGACCTTAAAACAACTAAGAATATAATACAACTTTAAAAAAACAATAACCTGACTTTTGCATGGACTATTTTAGTCTGCTAACATCAATGCACATGCTAGAGCCAACTACTGGCTGAGTAAACACACTTTCCCTTACAAACAAGGTATTTCAAGTTAAAAGACGCTTTCTGAGAACCACATTATCATTCTTTAATAAAAACAGCTGCCAAGCTGCTTCTGTGCTTCTGTAGATAATCTAGTCACGGGACTGGCCAGTAAACAACAAGATGGAAACTCCTTGCTTACCAAATGCTTTCGTGGCATTTAATTTAAGCATGTAAATTCGCTTAAAGGATCAGCCCCCAACTGTCTACAGCAAAACAGAGAGCTTGGGTGGTAACAATAAATTGGAAATAAGAAGTGAAAGAGTATTTGCATGCTTCATTATAGTGTACTTTTTGGAATGAAATTGGGGCACACCTATGATAAAAACACAACTTTAGCTTCCTTTTGCTATGAATTATAGATATAAATAAGCCACCAGCCTACAGAGTCATAACCACCAATAGAGAAAGAGGTGAACACAGAACTAAATGCTTTAGTCTTAAAAGCCCTTCTCTCTGTTGATGGGGCATCAAGATACTAACATAGTAATAATTTCAATATTCACTTCTAGAGTACAGTCATCTTCCTTCTCTCATATAACAGGGGGCTAACAAGAACAACACGGCAAAAAGAAAAATTTTGCGAAAAATTGTTTCAAGAGGACATGGGGAAGGCAAGAGGGCATTAAGGAGAATTTCCTTCTGAATAAGTACTTTTGTGTATTTTACTTTAATAACATAAGGGCCAAGCATTGCCCACAGAATCTGGACACACCTTCATAAACTTTAAGGATGCTGGAGAACCTACAGAAAAGCGGAAACAACAGATCTTCAAAGAGTCAATGAGAACAAAACAGTCACAAGAACACACAAACTTTAATTTCGGACATGGTCACCCGAAACAATTTGCATCAATTCAGGGTTTACAAGGCTCCCTTTCTCCGCCCAGACTGTCAAGTGAACACTGAAAACAATCTTCTTATGAGTTCTTGACGACTGGTTCACTGTGGAGCACGTGTTTTTTCATACCACAGTCAAGGAACTGGGACTCGCTCCCAAATCTGGCCTGTGACTTCTGGATAAAACGATAGTAAGGAACCAAAAAACGTCTTAAGATGTATTTACTTCTGAAATAACTTAGTTTGGGAAACATCCATATTCTTAGTGAAAGAATTACTTGGAAAGTTTAAAACTTTTAAAAAACAAAATCAGTTCAACAACTGTCAAAATAAAATGACTATAAAACTAACTACAATCCCATGCACTGAGAAACACACTTCAGGTGAGCTCGGCTCATGGAAACTTCTCGGTCTTCCAAACTGAACACAGCTCAGAGGCCTAGCTCTACCTATGTTAAAAGCAAAGACACAAAAGTGTTCCTTGAAATCACAGTGGGTGAGTAGGGGACAGGAAGGTGTGTATATAGGAAGGGTCAATTTCCAAGACCCAGTCGGGCTATTCAGACAAGAAATCTGAGGCCCCAGCAAGATGAATGACTCAAGGCCATCCTTCTGCTGTGAGAGCTGCCAGGCTGCCACGGGTTAGCAGTGAGCTGGCAGGCAGCAACCGACAACTACCAACACAGTCTTTCTTCCCTTGCGATCTTAAGAGAATTCTCCAAATTTCCTGGTGAGCTAGAAGTCAGGCGAGCTGAACACTCTTTGCAGGCCTGGGACACTTTCAGTTTCACCCATTTCAGCGAGCACATTTGGGGTTGACCTCAGAGAGGCCCCAGTCCTGTTTAAGTGAGGCGCTAACAGAGGGAGGCGCAGTATTCTGAATGAGCCCCACTCTGGTCCACTCACAGCCTAAGGAAGGGTAGTCAGAAGATGCCCTACACCGCACAGACCCATTCACAGAGTGGACGGCCTGCAGAGCCAGCGACGGGAGGTATCGAGGTATCAATACACAGGTCCAATAGCTCACGCTTACAAAGCACGGGATGTGAATGTCCCAGCATCTCATCTGGCCCAGAGTCTAAGTTTCTGAGATAACTGTCAAAAAAAAAAAAAAAAAAAAACAACCTCCAAACTTGCATTCGGACCAGTCTCCTCTTCCAATGAAACATATATCAACCTCAGGCCTTTTTCTCAAGATCAAATTTCCTCTACTTCTATCTGATCAAAGACAAATTCGTTTCTAAAAACCTCAAACAAACTGACTAAAAGAAATTCAAACCCTACATAATCAAAACAGTAATAGCTCTAATTACACATTCACAAGCTTTGATAAAAAAAAACAACAACAAAAAGAAAAGGCTAAGCAATGAATTTACCAATCAGCATGAATCATACCCCATTTTGCTTGGGCTTTTACATTCTTTAATATTAAGTCTTGCACTCAAGTATGCATTTTGTGGCGCCGTGTGTCCGGCGCAGGGTCTTGCACCCGCTGCTGAGCTACACCCACAGCCCACACCTAAGTGTTTTGTGCATCTCAATTCACAGCAGCTTCTTTGAAGAGAAGTAGGGGACCACATAAACAAAGCTTCTTAAATAGAACAAGCCCCGAGGAAAGAAGGCACTTTGAAAGATTGAGCAGTGATGCTCTGGGCACCCAGCTTCAGAGGGACGTCACCACATGAACCGTGGCTTGCCAGTGTTCTCAGGGCCAGCTTCTGGGTGACTTCTAGGAAGAATACAATCATCACTGGTCACTCTGACTTTCCAGGAGCTACTACTGTCAGCTCCCAAACAGAAGATGGTCTCCTGCTGTTGTCTATTTCTCAAAACGCCAGAGCTGGTTTTTATCAAGGGCGTTACATGTTTTCATCTGCACACTGGGTCGGCCTTCGGCTGTCCGGAAAGCAGTAAGGCACAGTCCTGTGTGAGGGTGAAAAATCGTGCCGTCTTCTTTAAAAAGCCAAATGATGTTGACAGGGGTAGGGAGACCATCCTTGGGACAGTTTTGCATCCCTACATGAGTCTTTTGTTCGGGGACCTCCGCACATAATTCAGTCACAGAATTAAATCGGATTTCTTTGTTGGAAGTGTATTCAAAGAATTGATTGCCTCCTTGACCGTGGCATCCAAACAAGGAAAGGTTAGCACCTGTCGGGTTGCTGTCAGGAGCATTATAGTCTAAGCACTCGGAAGAGATGCCCATGCTGCGAATAGCTCCGTGCCAGCCAGGTCTATCCTCAGGGACATGTAAGTTAGAAAACACATTTTTCAAATACCAGTCGAAGCTCTGGCATTTCAGCCGCTCCCTCAGCAGCTTCCTTTCAGAAATATCGCCATAGGCCTCTTTCCGAGCTGGTGGGTTTCGGTTATAGAAATGCTCTTTGTATTCGTCCATCCAGACTTCGGCAGCCCTCGCCGTATTCTGTAGGAAATTGGGGCGAGCATATGGCGCCCGCTTGGGGAACACGTGGCCCACATGAGAACATGGGTGGATCTCCAGTTTGCCGCCGCACTGCCAAACCCGGAAAGACAGCTCAAGGTTTTCCCCTCCCCATACTTCCATGCCCGTGTCGTAGGTTCCCAGGTACTGAAAATACTTCTTGCTCACGGCAAACAGGCCTCCTGCCATGGTGGGTGACCGGATGGGGTCGATTCTTGATGTTCGCCTGTCCCGTTCATGTTTGGGGACAGAATGCCACTGAAATGTTAGGCGCCAGTCAAACCCACCGATCATGGGCTCCCCAGTCTGCATGTAGAATTCAAAAGTATTCCAATCGATAGTATCAATAACAGGGCATACGATTGCTGTTTCATCGTTACTAATTCTTTCTAAAAGTGGCTCCAACCAACCAGTGTTACACTCACAGTGGCAATCCAGGAACGTGAGAACATCCCCAGTGGCAAAAGTGGCCCCAATGAGGCGGGCCCGGACCAGCCCCTCTCTCTTATTCGTTCTAATCAGGCGCACTCTATCGAGATTACTGATGTAAGTTTCGAGTTGCGACTTCAAATAAACTCTGTCACTCAAGTCATCGACCAAGATGATCTCCTTCAAGAGTACCGCAGGTGACGTTTCTAGAACGCTGTGAATGGTTCGAAGCAGAGTGGACCAGGCTTCGTTGTAGAAGGCGATGATAACGGAGGTGGTGGGAAGCGACCTGTAGTGGAACGTCTGGGCTTTACACTCGGGCATTCTTTTATCCTCTATGTGGCGGTGCAGGGAGATCCTGTCACTGACGTAAATATTAATGGCATATCTCTCAATGAGTTCTTCTTGCTGTTTCAGTTCACCCTCATTGAGCTGCAATTTGCTGGCCCTCCCCCATTCTCCAAGAGCATGGGAATCTGCAGGGGGCTTTATATAAAGAGGCTGAGACAAATCCTCTTCCCCCGTCTCAATGTCTGAGCGCCGCCTTGGCCCCAGCTCCTTGGCATGGCCGGCTTCTGGGGAGGCATACAAAGTGGAGACGGAGAACTCCACCAGGATATAAGCCAGTGTTAAAAACGCCAGCAGCAGGCAGCTCTTGCCTGCCCAGGTCCACCTCACGGCCATCCGGATCCTCATGGGTCGTGCGTAGACGCGGCCACCCAGCCAGCACGCGGGGGAAGTGCTGCGGACCCAGTAGCTGGAGTTCCCGGCTCAGGTAGGGGCGACCTTCCAACCACGTCCCTCCTTTCATGTAGGCGCTGGGCTCCTTCCAGGACACCGGAGTTTCCCGGGGGTCACTTGAGACCCCCGCCCCCCTTGCTCCTCGGCCTCCGGTGCAGCTCAACTGGTCGGTCCCCACTTCCTCCTGCTCGTCTCAGAACTTTTTCACAAACTCTCCAGCCAATACTCCACCCTCCCCAGGCCGATCACAAACCCCTCCCCTTCCCACTCACTCCTCCTGGTGGTTAGTTCACGAAAGTTGCCTTTCAGGCCCAGACCGGCCGCACCGGGACTGAGCAGAGGCCAGGGGACCTGGAGTGGTCCCAAGTGCCCCGTCGCCCCTGGCTCCCTCAGTCAGAGACCAACGAGAAGGAAAGAAAGGGTTTCTGCTAAGTGATCATTGCTTACCGTCACAAAAAGAAAGGAAAAGGAAAAAAAAAAAAGGACGACTTACCAAGTTGTTTGCTGTTGGGGCTGAAGTCCACGGAAGTGATCGCAGCTTTGTGGCCTTTAAAATAACGTTCCAGAATCGGGTCCTCCTAGGATGGAAAGTTGGCAAGTTTTGAAAGCAGGTGCAGAATTCTAACTCTCGGGATCAGAGGCCAGTGTTGCCGGTCCCCCGAGGCTGGAGAGAACCCCGCCTCATAGGTGGGCATCGAGGGAAGCGCGGGTATCACCTCCGGGGTGACAGGCAACGGGAACTGCCCGTGCCCCCCGCCGGAGGAGCCCCCCAGCCCAGGCTCCGGAGCGTGCAGCCCAGGGACCAGCCCCGGCTCGGGGGACCGAGCCGCCGGTGCACGGCGCAGGCTCCCGCGCCCTTTAAACCTCCCAGGCGATTCTGACGCAGGCGTGGCGCGGAAGGCGGCCGGGAAGTCGGGGGTCCGAGCTCCGGGAGCCCAGGAGCAGCGCTCACCGCCCTGTCTGGGCACGGAGCTCCCGGTGCCGGGCGCTGTGCGAGCGATAGGCCGAGCTCCCGGGCCGGGGGTCCCCCCACCTGGCCCCGCTGCCATGGGGTCGGCTCGGACAGCCGGCGGGGGCCTTACCCGGACGGAGGCCATGCGGGGAGCGGGCAGCTCCGGGGCCTGAGGGAGCCAGGGAGGGACGGGGACAAGGGGGGACCGTGCGGCGCCCGGAACCGTCAGCTCCGAGCGCCGGCGCCTCCCGGTCACTACAACAACGGCGGCCCAATCAAAGCCCGCGCTCCAGGCGTGGCCAGATGAGCCCCGAGACGCTGGCCACGCGGGGGACAGCGGACGGCTCGGCGGGAGCGCGCCGGTGCGGGGTCCAGCGCTCGCACATAGCGGAGCCCGCGTGCATCCGAGGTAGCGGATCCTCGGGTTGGTGCGCGGGGGGGACCGGGGAGAAGCCTGGGGCGAAATGAGATCTGTGGGGGGGCGAGGCGGACGTGAGCCTGTGATCGACGCCATCAGAGTTCCATTACACCTTAAAGAGACCGCGCCCTAAGCGCGCCAACGGATCCGCTACACCTTGTGAAGACCGGAGAGAGATACTGGGAGGTTCAGGCTTGCTGTTTCTGTAACAGTGCATTCAGAGGAGCTAAGTACCTGGCGGAAAACCTGGTTTGGTTAAATTGCAGGGTTTTTTGTTGTTTGTTTGGTTTTGCACGTGGTGTAGATCCAAATGCCGGCGGCACACGATGAATGAACACTACTACACCGCAAGGTTACTATAAGGGTTTACACTGCAGGCTTTCTTACACATCTGTGCTTCGGCAGCATGAGGTTGGTAAAGCTACAAAATGTTGTCGGTGGCAGTTTATAAAAGGGAGGTCACATCAAAGCCTGTGACACCAAATGAGACGGCAAACCCTGCCCTGAAGCATAAAGGACTTATCTGAAAATTATATATGAAACAGAGATTCTTGGCAACAAAATGTCATGATACCTCGCAAGATACATGTTCTATGTAAATGAAAGATGTCTTAATTACAGGTTCTCTGACGGGCTGTATTGTGACTGCATTTAGTCTTAACCACTATGTAGCAATTAAGTAGGTAGAGAAAGTCTGCAATACAGTATTAGTTTAACACATGGGTGGGTGGTTGTTAAATATCTTTTGTATGTTTGACCCCAAGGGCTACAAAAAACAAGACAAAAGGGGCAAAACTCCGAAAAAACCAAAATATTTTCCCCGCCTTCAAGAACTTGCCATTCTTGGGATGGTCTGTAGCTCGGTTGCAAAGTGCTTGCCTAGCATGAACAAAAACAAACAAACAAACAAACAAAAACCCTCACCTCTACCGCCAGTACCACACCAACCCAATCTGGCACTGGGAAGTTAGAGGCAGGAGGATCAGAAGTCCAAGGTCATCCTTAGCCACGCTGGAGTTTTGTGCCAGCCTGGGATACATGGATACTCAGAATTCATGGCAATTACTCAGAAATCAAACAATTTACTTATGATCTGGCAAAACAGGGGCCAAACATCTGTATTCACCAACATTCATAGCAGCATTATACAAAGCAGCCCAAAGCTAGAAACAAGTAAGTATCCTACAGATTAATCGGTATTTATACGTAAAAGGAATATTATTTGGCCATAAAAACAAATGCAATTTGATACGCGCTACTAGTTGCAAGGAAGCGAATAAACTAGAAATAAATAAGATCACGTTGTGTGATTAAGTTTGCATTAGATAGCAAAATAAGTAGATGCTTATTTCTTGTATATTTGATTACAGTAAAATGCTCTGATGTTAGAAACAGGAGAAACCAAGATTTCAGGATCTCTCATAGCTATGTCTGATTTGGGACACAGCAGATCAAAGGGAAGAATGTTGGAGAGATTAACTTGAAAGAAAAGAAGACACGAGTATAAGGTTTTTCTAAATTGTTTGAGTACTATTTTTGGAATCATCAGTTTGTCACAAGTGAGCGTGTTTTTTTTTTTTATAAGCAAACCAGAAGGCCGGGAGATGAAGCAAGTTATGAAAGCATATGTCTCACTATAAACCTTCGCTATATCTATAGTAGATATTCCACAGCTACTTGAGTTCCTTTTGTATCAGTCAGTCATCCATTGCTGTCATAATGCTGTGTAATAACTATAACAGTCAGTGGCATACTAAAGTGGACTGATCTTTAGTTCATGAATAGACAAGACATACTTTAAATAGATGAAGAGATAGGCCCTAGTGTTGGCATACAAAACAGTCCCACAGTAGCTTGGAATGGCATATAACAAATGCCAATTTTGGGGGGGATAAACTCATAGCAAGGGTAGCGATCCACAGTCCTCTGCATGTGTGCTGGGAACTGGAACCAAATCCAGCAGCCAAGAGGGCCACACATGGGTTTTATCTGCATTTATATATAGTACATGAGACCACATCAAAAGTGGGTCGGTATCTTAAACACTAAAAGAGTTCCGACAGCACCCTAGGGCATAGCCTGCTATTGTTACTTTCATAAATATTCATGCTGTGCAATTACCTGCTAAGGATTTATGCTTATACAGATAAGCCTGGGCTACTCTGAACACTGGCTAGAGAATCTGCCTTTTGTAGTTGACAGCAGTCAACCCAGAGACCTATAACTGGGCAGAGTGCCGAGAATAAGAGTCTGAGGACATCTCTGTCACACCCCACCCCGACCCCAGAGTTCAGGAGCCGGAGGATAAGGATGGGGAGTGCCGTGAAATGCCATCTTCTGACCATGGCATGACTGGTGCCCATGCATACCTGTGTAGGATCAAGCTGGCCCGAGTTCTAGCATAGATGTGGGTGGTATTCTCCAGACCCCACCCCCAAACCGAGGCTCTCTAGGCAGTTGGTAGCCACTGGGGAAGGGAGGATGATTCTTTTTGAGAGTTTGGCCACTATTTGGCTTCCCATGCTCCCATCAATGCTCTTCCCCATCCATCACATATGATCTGTTTCCTCTGGACACAGTGGATCATTAATACAGATGTGAAGTTGGGAGAGGGTGGAGGGGAAAATGGGAGGTGGGTATGTTCTATTGTATAACCGTATGATTTTCCTTACAGAGTAAAAATGTACTAAAAACATTGTCTCATCCGAAGTTGGCCTTACAACCTTTGACATATTCCTAGAAATAAAACGATACAAGATTGTCACATCCTATGATGTGCTCGCTACAGATAGATGCTCTTCCAAGTCCCTGCTTACACTTCGACATTAGCCGTCATCGTAATCCTGCTAGAGTCCTATGTTTCCACCTGAAGTACAAAGATATTGTTTCTAGCCCAAGGCACACGGATCAGAAAAGGGAGAACTAAACTATTTTAGGCATTCAACGATCCTCTTCTAACCGCAAAGTCCTGATATCTCTTGTATGATTGCAAGTTTTTGTTTTGTTTTTTTATTTTATTATTATAGCCTATGTTGGCCTCAAACACCAGATTCCTTAGCTCCTGTCTCCCAAATGCTGGGCTGTCACCTATAAACCATCGTGCTTGGCCTCACTATTGCATGCTTATTGTAAATGCACAAAAGGTTGTGTCCTGTGAGGCTGGCTGGCTCAGACTGTGAAGGTCCTTGCTGCCAGGCTTGAGAACCTAACTGAAGGCAGGAACCAGTGTCTGCATGAGCTTCCATGCCAAGCACATCCTCCACTCCAGTAAATTTTTTAAAATTCCATACTAGCTATGGTTTTAATAAGTTTGACCAAGATTAAGAAGCAAAATCTCAACGTACATACATCCCACAGCTCTGATCTATTGCTCTAAGCTGTCTCTCCTGTAGCCTTTTCCATTTTTTTTTTTCCTCTCCCTACTCTTCCTGCCAGCAGCCGAAGCTCATAGGTAGACACTGGGCAAACAGCCAAAGCCGAGGGAGTATTTCTGATCTCAAACCTGCGTGAGTTTGTTTGTGGCCCACTTCCCACAGCGATTATTTTGCACTTCACAAAATGTCAGATTTAGTATGGAAATAGCCACAGTTGGGGTGGATCAATATTTGTAAACCTACAAGACTTCGTGGGAGACTGCATACTAGGTAGGGCAAAGCGGCCTTTCGTTGGCTCTCATTTTCTAGGTCTCTCTCTGATTAGATAGTGAATGTGTCTGCCCCAGCCCTATAAAGGTGTGTGTGTGTGTGTGTGTGTGTGTGTGTGTGTGTGTGTGTGATGCTTAGGTTAGTGGTGTTCCACTTTGGGAGTTTAGGCACTTAAGTGCCACCTGC